GCTCCTGACAGTCACAGATCCAGTCACGCCTGAAAGGTCAATGGGTAGAGGTCAGACAAAGACCAGTCTCACAAGGCCAGCTGCTTGGGCACCTCCTGGCTTCCACACCCGCTCCTGGAGAAGTCACTCCAGCAAATAAACACGATGAAGGGCAATTTACCGGTCAAAAAACCCCGCTAGATGGACGTAGGAGCAGGGTACCTGGGGCTTTTTCCCGACGGTGGAAGAAGTCTTCGCACTTCATCGAACAAGTACCGCCTTCCCAAGCCGGGCAGCCCCCAGCCAATAAGGCGCTGTCCCGTCCACGTTCCGCTTGTCTCATTGGATGCATGAGACCAAAGGCCAATCCCGAAAACCGGACCGACAATCAATGCACCAGTGAACGGAACATGGAACCGAAACCCAAGGACTTTGTGTAACAGGTCTGTGGAGGCTCCCACAAGGGTGCTTTGGTCACGCCCCAATGCCTAGCGGGTCAGGCTTTTGAGTCAAAGGCTCCGGTTAGGGTTCCTAAAGAAAAACCTCTTCGCCGCTAAGTATGTCATGCTCTAAAGTGTTAGGCACAAAATTTGGAAAACCTCTAGGGCAAAGTCTTAAGATCGAAGTAATCTCATACCTCACTTAATTATCCCAATTCGAGTGTGCAAAGTTATGTTTTCTTGATGTGGAGAACGTGAAAAACGACAATTCGCATAAGTTGTAAGAGTCAGCCCTGGGTGGTGGTGGAGCAGCAGGTTAGTCACTGTCACCAACATCCTTTGGATCCTATGATCCGAGGTTCGAACCCCGCCACCATCAATCAATTTTGCTGTCCATCGGTTCGATACTACACCTAACCTAGCAGGTCTTGTGTGGTTCGCAACTCGCAGTTTCGGGACTTAGATTGCCAGCTTTCGTCACTGAACCGTAGGTTTTCGCAACTATGGGGTTCCACCCCGTCCATTATTCAACACACAAATGTGATAAAAAAATTTGGGAAAATCAAAATCCGACAATTGACAATGAAGAACTAAAGTAAAAACCGTAACAAAATCCGTACAGAATGTAGCCAATGATCGTGGGACACAGAAATAGTTATCGCTAGCATAGCTCATCTCTGTGAGTGTCGCAGCGAGTGAGCAGGTTCCGACTTGCCTACATGGAACACAGAATGTGTGCGTGCGCCCGTGTCTGAATCCAGAACTGGGCACGAGCTACCTCAGTAAACTGTAAGCTCCATCTGTACCGTTTGAATGAGATGAAACCTGTATCCAACAATCAATACCAGAAATAAGCGTGAAAAACGATAACAATCGATTAGTTGCGACAGAGGTCATATTGTGATGGAAGGTGGTACAAAGAGAGCCCCGGCTAGCAAATGAATCAAGAATAAGGCCGATCCAACCAGGTGCGCAGACGTAGCGGCTAGAAGTACTTCGCGAGACAATGTCGACCACCACTCGAAAGGAACGAATCGACAATTATAGCCCAACGGACAATCCGCATCTAGCCAGGGAGATATCCACCGAATACAACAACGTCGGAGCTGTCGATCAACGTATCTCGCGCTACGATCGGATCAAACCAGTCGGAACGGCACACGGAAGAAGAGGAAACGTACGTGCCACGTGCGGACTAAAACCAACAGAATGAGGCATGAATCATCCTGCCGCGCGGTTGAGAATTGATTGTATATAATCGAACGCATACACCGGTTGTTTTTTAACTGGATCCATAAACGTTTTGCCAGCCGACTCGTCTTCTCGTTAGAGTATGATCAACAATGTGGCTCACCTTGTGTGACCAAATGGAACCTCAGCGCTGAAGTGACGTTGGCAGAGCGCAGTACTTCGAGACGCTCCAAAAAGACGTTGTTCAGATAGCAAGCACTTGGTAGGTCCAGGGCCACTCTAGAGAATGAAATGAGGACCAACGCAAAAAGAATTCTGAACGATTCAAATGAGGATAGTGTGAACAAGTGGAAAAAATCGATTGAACGCGTGCCCCTGTGTTGGCAATCGAGGAAATCAAGCCAGACAGAATTCGCTGCATTTTCGCAACCTGAATATTCGGGACATATGAACGGGTGCGAGCATCGCAACTGCCAGAGTCGATGATTGGCAACTAGTGCGGCTATCTCCAGATGGGTATATCTTTGACGTGCTATGCTCACCGAGAAGATGATGGAAAAAAACGTTGAAGAACGGCCTAAAAACCTTGAACATTGAACTGAGTCAGTGGGACAGGGTTACGATGATGAGTTATGGTCCAAGCGCCTCCTACCCAGCGTATCAGTAGAAACCTCAAATGACACGGTCAAATGTTGAGAATAGTCAACGTACCGCGATACACAGAGAAGCAGACTTCGTTGATGGCTGTCTAGCTCAAAATGTATATATATAAGTATGAATGAGTAAGACAGTACGGAATGCTTTCAGGCAGTGAACAGTGACATTTTTAAGACTTTCTTTTTTTCAACAATTTGAACACAGAATATTAATCTACATAGTTTTGGAGATTATTTCGTTGTAGCTGAGTGTCCAGCTCAGAAAAACTGGAATAACACATGAACACATGAAGGATTGAGGCGTGGAACCGAGAAATGAAACACAGTCGTGAATCGCCCGTGCAACATTGTTTGCAATGAAACAATGTGGAAGTTTTCGTACAGGCCACTCACTCATTCCTCAACATTTCAGGGTAGCCTTTTCGCTGTGAATATATATTATATATATATATTATAATGGTAATAACACAGCGATGTCGGTAGAGAATTATATTCGCCGATGTTTCGGTTACCGTGGGGAACCCTTCTCAAGGCAGGTTTTACAATCAAATGACTCTTTATGCAGTTTAGGAAAATTTGTTTTTAAGGAAAATGGAGTTAAACAAAAATTCGTAGTTCACCTTTCAATGCATCGCAGCACACGAATTCCTGGTGGTAGTGGTGACGATTCGCCAAAACTAGCGAGAACTCAGAAAGTATGGTTTTCATCATTGGAAATAATTACATCAGTCTCCCAAACGTAAAAATATCGCTTACTACTGCATCTACACATGATAGTACGGGTCCGCAAAATCAAGTAGCAAATGAAAAACCGGTGAAGCTGAATTCATCGCGGTGCACCGATATGGTTTCCTTCTTATTAAGTGCCACTTCAGGGAGAGTTCCTCTATACTGAACGTTCCCTTATTGGACCGGTGATCGAAGAACCAATCCCAGAATGAAATGTTTCCGACTCAAATTAGACGTAACGGACTGATGCGGTAGCAAATAA